CCGCATCAGGGAGCCCCCGAAGCCCAAGCAGGTGGATCGGTGGACGGAAAAACGGGCCTTGTTCGGGGTCTACGACAACGTGGGGATCCTGGGTAAGGTCTTCCCACGCTCCCTGCTGTGGCCCCAGGACAGGAGGGGAGGTAGACAAAAAAGGCTCCTCCAGCAACGAGAGGGCCGGGGGGGGATTGAGGCCGGCCATCCGCGGTAGTAGCCTGCTCCAGGCCCTGGCTTGATTCTCTTTCCTCTGCCCTCCTGTTCTCAGGTGGCTTCGAGATCCACCCGAAGAACCTCATCAAGGGGCCGCAGTGGCTGCGTGGCTGGCGGGGGAACGAGCTGCAGAGGGGCATCCGCAAGAAGCGTATGGTGGGAGATCGGATGTTTGTAGAGGACTACCACAAACTCAACAAGAGGATCCGGTACTTGTACAGGCGCTTCAATCGTACTGGGAAGCACCGTTAGGAGTGACTGGGGGTTTGGCACACGGTTTTGTGGCATCCTGGTCAGAATAAAGCCAGCTTTCACACAGTTGGGCTCCCAGTGTTTTCTGCAACCTTTGCTATACATTTCTGGCCTGGCCCCAAGGTCCTGCTGCTGCTTCAGGCCTGAGCTCCACTACGCAAGTCCTGTCCCCTCAGTCATTTCTGACAGACTTCTCACAGCCATCTGTTCCAGCCAGTATCCCTGAACTTGACCTGAGGGTCCTCTGTTTGTTGGCCAGGCTTCCAGCATCTTTTTGATCTCTGTGAGCCCCAGGTTGTCACATGCTACTTGACCATTTCAGTATGCTCCATCTTGGGCACAGCCACATCTAAGTTAGTGGTAAGAGTGCCTGCCAATACCTCTTCCTGCTCACTGCTTGCCCCCTTTATTTGTGGTTAATATTAAGCCTGAATGGTCCAAATGTTAATTAAAATACATCAAAACATGTATTTAGAAAAGGATTTGTCTCTGTTTCACGCTGGTGATGACTCAACCCCATACTAACTATGCTTACAGATCAAGTGGCCTTTTGTTCATAATTTAGTCAGGCTTTGCAAAAGTAATTTGGGCACTTAACTGTTTTTAAGAACTTCAGCTTCGAGTTTTCCTTTAGAGGAGAAATTAAGGTGAGTCAAAGCTGGCATCCCTCTAGTCTAGTATCACGAAGACCATTATATACTTCAGAAAAATCTGTATGATAAGCAGGCATTTGCCTATCTGTTCTCCCGCAGATGTTAATTTGGCTGCTAGGAACTGAAAGAACTTTAGGTCCTAAGCCTCAGGAAGGTGAAGCCAAAGTCTCTGTTCAAGCAGCTGAAGCCCAGGTCCTAAGGTGCAGGGTGGCAGACCTGCGGGACTCTTGCCAGAAGGTATTGTGGATTCAGGAAACAGATGCACGGATTCCAGTGGAGACGGAGCAGGCACCTGGAAGAGAGCAGCTGGGGGTTATTACATGCGTAAGCCATGGGTGTAGCAAATCCTTGACTGAAAATAAGGTCAGAAACTGGACAAGTGTCAGAGGAAAGTATCTTGTGCCCCTTGTCAGCTCTTGGTCCCTAAGCACCAACTTGGCAAGGGCTCTGTGGGCTGGTGTTTCTATGAGCTCCATCTTCTGTTACTTGCCGTGGTTGTTGGAGCAGTCCTCGAGCTGCGGTGGAAAGCTCGCCAAGCTATGGAAGCTGCTTCTGTGACTTGTCCCTTTGCAGCTGGCCTGAGGGCACAGCTTAAAACCCTTCAGTTCTGCTGAGGGCAGTGCCAGCTTGCTCCTTCACCCCCAAGAGTCCCATCTGCAAACCACCCGGCTCTAGTCACAGCCCTGCGTTACGTCTTCACCTCCCTCATAGCCATGTAGTTTTGGCTCCCAGGTCATAATTTAGAATGTCTCTATCTATATTAATATTAGTATTTATTTAATCTATCCGATCTGACACTAAAATATTTTATTAATGGTCTCTAGGAAACTGAAGCTCAGCATGGGTGCGAACCAGTCATCTGCCACTCTACTTACCACACCAAAAGCCGTACAGGAGACAGGTCTTGTTCCAGCACGTTCCCGCTTCCTTTTTTGTCCTGAATTGAGGAGTCCTCCCTTCTGATCCAGCAGGCTTCTCAAAATTCTTTAGAGGAGGTGGGAAAAACCCAAACCTGAGGCTGTTATGGGGGCTGCTGCTGGAGCCCCATTTCCCTGCAGCCGCTCTGGGCTCTCTTTTACGCTGGAAAGGGGCCAGCAACGCCATATCTTAATTGCAGGGACAGCAGCTTGAGAACCAGAGCCAACAAATGCGCTACTGGGGCGAGAGTCACCGAGGCGCTCCGCAGCCCCTCCCCCCGTACCGGTACCAGCCGGGGCGGGGGCTTCAAGGGAAAACCGGTGGGAGAGGGGACAGATGATCGTGTGCAGGCCCTATGGGACCCAAACGGAGCTCAGGGTTGGCGCCAAGGCCGCAGGAGGGGTCCCGGAAGTCTCAGTCCGGAGGGTGGTGGCGAGCACCCTCAGCCTCACCGATCACCGACCCGTCCGCAGGGGCGCAGCGGCTCTCACGGACCGCGGGGAGGGGGCGGGCTCTAC